CACCACCACCACCACCACCACCACCACCACCACCACCACCATCACCACCACCGAAGTCGATACCGTGTCCTCCGCTGCCGGTTAAGCTTGCACCCGGATACCGTCCTCGATTCCGACTAGATGCTACCACGAACGTGGATCATCATCCCAATGGCTGGTCGAATGGAGAAAAGGGAAGGAGACTTGTCTTGGGGGACTCTCTGTTTGTTGGGAGACGATTTTTAGTAGGGGGTAAGATTATGAGAGCGATGGAATTTTGGTAGCGAATTTTTTTTGGACGAAAGCGTTTGTGAGTTCGAGTGGGTCGTGTTGGGGATGTAAAAGATGATTCGATCGAAATATTTGTTATAAAAACGACGGAAGGAAATGAAAGGAATGTTATTTAAAGTTTGGATTATAAAATTATATAATGTTTTATATAAGAAAGGATAACTATTATATAGGTTGACAAAAAGTTTCTCCGATAAACGAGGTGAAACTTCTTACGGAAATTCGCCCTTTCACTCGCCGCGTATAGTGTTTTATCGCATTCCAACGGTAATGATCTATCGGTGGATACTATTCCGCGCCATTATTGTATTCATTATCGAATTATCTTCGTCTTATTGTCCGACCGTACGAAGCGCTCGTTCTTCGTTATTATACTTTTAGACACGAGTCTTCCTCGCGTTTTCTTATTTTCCGTAGCAGAAAATGTGATAAAAAGAAAAAATCATAGATCCATCACCTATATTTTCATCGATAAAAAAATTTCTTCAAAATTCATTATCTTCCTCGGTATATACCAATATATACCACGTTCGTAATTCATTACTCGAAATGCAACATATTAAAAATCAACTCGTTTTATTTCGATACTTGAAATCAGGCGAAAAGATGCATCGCGAGGGGGGTGAAGTAAAATCCGCGAGGTACCGCCTCCGATTACGAGGCGCGGAACGAGAAGGCACGTCGACACTCTCGCGAATCGACCGAACCGTAGACGCAAGCCCGTTCTGACGTAACACTTGTTGAGCCGATTCACCCCCGCGGCCATCCCTCGATGGACATTTCGCAAACGACCGAGGGATGTGCCGTGGAATTTCTGTTATCAACTACTCGACTGCCACAGACGAGTACTGGCCTTCATCATCCCGACATTCGTTTCTCGTGTCAAGGGTTGAATATTCCGGTCGATCGGAGAGTTGATCGAGACTCGACCAAGGGTCAACAGAGGATGAAAAATTTCCTATTTTCTTAAAAGGAATTACTCGGATTTTATTAGCTCGACGGTTTAACGCTTCCGTAACACGTGCAATTCACAACAGGGTGAAATAAATATTGTAGCGTTTGGACGCGTAGGGGAACAATGTATAAAATATGTGAGGCAAGGCACGTCCTCATAATTCTATCCTACTACCCCAAAGTGTCAGAAATATATCGTTTCTTCGACAGTCTTGACAATTCGTTTGATCCTTAACAGGATCGTGAGTGGAATCGAGTTATCCTTCGAGAATTATTCAAAGTCATATACCTGTGCTTTTATCGTAACTACATTTCGCTATTTATTTGATCGTAAAAAAACAACGCCTTTTCTAACGCGTTCCTTTAATTTCTAATTTCACGAAAACGAAAATTTTCATCGTTCTCGAACGTTCTCATCCCCTTTTTTCAGCCGGCAGCTTTTCATTTTCACGATCCGCGCTCGAATTATTACTTCTAATCAGAGATTCAGGTACGCGAATGGAAAATAAAAGCAGGGGAGGGTTGAATCGGCCGACGGTCCGCATGAGGGGCCCCCGGGTTGTAACCAGGCTGCTACAATAAAAAATTTAATCAAAATGCCCTCTTGGTAATTTACAGCTCGGCCAGCCTCTCAACCCTTTTGGACGGCGAGAGGAGGAAGGAGGGGCGAGAAGGGGACGACGGGGAGAAAAAGAAGCTCGTAGGAGTCATAGAGGAACGCGACACAGGCCATTTCCTCGAGGGCTCGTCCCCCGTAAAAAATAATACTTCTTGTCTCCGCTCATTTGCCTCCTGTTAAACCCGCGCCACTCTCACCTTGACACCCGCTGCCAACTCGTAAATTACGAATTAGAGACGTCAACTGTAAACCTTACAACTGTATGCTGTAAACGCTCGACATCGGGGAGGGTAAGTACGTTTTTCAAATACGAACGTTTTAGAAGTTTAACCCTTTCGAGATGTCTACCGCTCCCTTTAATTAAAACGTTTTACTTCTAACGATAACTTAAGAAAGTCTTGCGTACTTCTCAAGTTTCCTAAACTCTAATTTTTCTCTCCTCGATAAGAAGTGTTTAAGGGAAAAAATAAAATAAAATAGAAATTTCAATTTTACTTAAATACCAGGAGAGCAATATTCTATTAGATTTTTGCAGCAGTGATCACGGCAATTTGAGAACACTCGTTATATGTCGCAAATTTTAGTCTTTCTTCGGTAGAGTTCACAGATTATCGGTTAAGAGAATCTATCCAATCGATAATCCGACACGTTCCTCTTCCGACTCGATATTCGATATTCCGCGAGGAAATCGTACTTGACTCGTAGAAACGGTTTAATGCCGTAATCCCGTTCCGAAATTGCAAACGGCGTTACTCGTCGCCATGATTAAAGGGCATATCTATGCACGTCCGATTAAAGACCGCCGCGGTCGCAGCAATAATTTATTTACAGCTACGACTTACGATATCCTGGAACCATTAAAGGTGGATTCCCGGAGAAAAGTTTGGGCCGTGGTTGCCTACCTGGTGGGTACAGGTGTGAGTCGTAATAACATAGCGGCCGCGCCCTTTAACCTCTAATATCCCTACCTTGGTACCGACTTCACTAACGCCGCCAACAATCGGTCCCGGGTACACCGCAATCATCCTCTACCTCTGTATCAATCGCCAGCGGATCATTATTGCGGATACACTTAGCATTGCGCTTTCTCCACCGTTACTTTTACCACTGCACACGTGCATCGCCCGTTTCGAAATATTCTATCGCGATTCTGGT